ATGGTGGCCAAGAGTGGGGCAGGCCTGAAGCATGCCGAGTCCATCATGTCCTTCCACATCGACCTGGGGCCCTCCATGCTCGGGGATGTCCTGAGCATCATGGATAAGGATCAGTGGGAGCAGGATGAAGACCCCGAGGCAGAGGAGAGCCGCGAGGAGGAGGAGGAGGAGGTACTCCCCGGTGGTGGCAGTGGCAATGTCAACCCCACCGAGCCAGAGCCAGAGCCCGGCCCGTGGTGCTGGTGGCCGTGGGCCCAGGGACAGCAGTCCAGCCTCCAGCTGCACCTCAGGGCCGGAGGAGCGCAGCCCTGTCCCCAGGCCACCGAGCCGGCGGGGAGGGCCCCCAAAACGCCCCGACAAGGAGTTCTCGTTCGCTGATGAAGACGATGATGAGATCAGAGTATAAAGGCAGCAGCCAAGCCAAGGTCTTGTTCTCACTGTGGCTGCTTGGACATGGGGCCGAACACGTGGTGCTGCAACTAGTGGCACTGGAAGACTCAACTCCTCCCTCGCTCCCTCTCCCAGTGCCGTGGCAGGACAGTGCTCTGCTCCTGGGGCTGGGGGTATTCCCGACATCCCTTGGCCCCTGGAGAGCTCCAGCGCTTCCACAGGGAGGGGGAAGCAGACTGGATTTTGGTTCTTTCAATTGGACTTTGGATATTAGCTCCTTTCTCTCCCCCCTGCCCACATAAAGCAATTTAGGATCCAACAAGATGAGCCTTTGGAGTTCTACCCCCTTTAGTAATATATATTTTTTCCGTTGTATGGTTTTTACTGTTCTCTGATTTCTACTTAACTTTCTTTACTCTCACTTTTGGTTTTGACTGAGGGGAGATTTCCCAGGAGGAAGGACTTTGCTCTGGAGCTCAGAGGCAGCGTGGGACTGTGGGCAGCTCCAGCTCCCTGGGTTTCTTGGGGACTTTCTGCAGACCAAGAACCTCCAGTGCTGTGTGATCACTCCCCATCCCTTGGATGGATGATGGATGGATCCAATCCAGATACTTGACCCTCCAACCAGCCTGGGGGTCACAGGGATATTCCTGGCCAGCCCTGGCACTGGCTGCTCCCAAGGACACTGATGGAAGTGTGGGTCTGTCCCCTGTGGGAGTAGCAGCTGGAACCCCCTGAGCCAGGATGTGCCGTGGGGCCAGGCAGTGCTGACACTGGGCTGGTGCAGGCAGCTGGAACAGGTGGTTTTATACCATGTATGTACAAATGGAAAGAATAAAAGGAAATGGTAGTGACTGCAGTGGCCTGAGTTCCTCAGGGATGGGATGTCTGGGGACCTGCTGCCAAAGCAGGACCAGTTTCCTGGTGCTGCCACTGCCCCCAGTCCCTCTCCTGCTGCCTCCACCTTTGGTGCCCATCCCTGGCTGTGATCCTGCGTGGTGCTGGGCCCTGGCTGGAGTTTGGGCACCTGCAGTGGCTGTGCTTTATCTGCCCATCGTGGGAGGAAGCGGGTGAGCTCCTGCTGGCCGGATCTGGCTCCAGGCTGGGCCCCTCTGGCCAGGCAGCTCCTGCCAAGGGACAGCTCTGCCAACACACTGCTCTCCTCCCTGCAGCCCCACTCCCTGCCAGCCAGGGAGGAGGGGAAGGGGATGGTGGGGCAGGACTGGCTGTCCCTGCTCCTGCGGGCTGGGGGCCAGGGCTGGGGGGACCCTGGGGGCTCCCAATCCCATGGGATGTCCATGGCCCTGGATGATCCCAGCGTGGTGAGCAGGGCAGGTCACTCCCATCCCACAGTCAGCTTCCCACAGCTCAGTCACTGGGATAATGGGGCTCTGCCAGTGCTGGGACTGACTTCCCACTCCAGCCCCACTGATGGAGCTGTGCTGTGATGGGACAAAGTGCCACAGAGCTCTGGCCAGGCTCTCCTTGCTGGAGAGAGGGAAGCAACATCTCCTGGCCCTAGGTGGGGCTGGATGCTCCTCTCATCCCAAATGGATCTCCCCTGGTGAAGCTGGTGGGAAAGGGCAAGTGCTGTGGCTGCAGTGGGGACACAATGGAGTCCTGTGCATGCGCCAGGCAGGACACAACACCCTGTGCAGGGGACATTGGGCCATTGTCTGGGATGGGAGAACAACAGCAGCTGTGGCTGGTGGCTCTGAGCTCACCAGG